ACGCTGTTTTTTTCACCTCCATGCCCAAACGTCTTTGTTTGGGCTTCCGAAAGCGGATGATGTCAGGAAACAGTGGTTGCAATTTACTTCTTAACTCTGTTCCTGAGCATTATAACCCCAATTTGCTATTGTGTGCTGCGCATTTTACTGAGAACAGCTTCCACAACGTGGAGTGCAGTGCCTGCCGGATTCACCCAAAAGCTTTTGTTGAAAGACGGAGCAAGAGGCAATACTGAAACACCATCTAAGTTGTTCGCCAATCACAACGCACTGGGACAGCTAACCAACCACAACACATTTTGTTTTTTCGGAAGGCGGACCTTCATCAAAGCCGGAACTAATCAAGCCGTTTGTGCCAGGATGGAGAGAAAGTTATTGTAATAATGTAAATTATGTGAAAAATAATGTGTTTTTCGAACAACCAAGCATGAGAGCATGTTCTAGTACACCCCCAAAACAAAATCAAGACTTTGTAAAAGAGCATAATAGGACCCCTTTAAGACTTCTTGAAAACCTGCTTGCCCACGACTCCAGCTGCTTTCAGCTCCTGCATAGAAAATATACAGAACATAATTATAAAATTTTTAAATCCTCCAGGTCAAAGGTCATCTGAATCAATAACTTTCATATCAGGTGCCTATGTGCTTTTCAAAATACGTTCCTTTTTGTTGTCTCTATAAATTGCACTTTTTATCAGCAGGTGGCGGTATGTACCTAAATATAGATTCTTCAACACACCTTAGACACCCTTTTGCCAAAGGGGTTGCTTGGGCTAATTAAGCACAATGTCGCACAGATGTGGTCAACCATCTGTTGTTAACATTTCAAATGAGCACAATAGCCTTGTAATGATAATATTGTCCTGGCGCCCCCTGCACAATGAGCCACTAATTCACATTGGTGATCACATGTCATTTGTAGCATCAGTAACCATGTGTTTTACTCTAACTCACGGTTTCCAAAAACAAAGTAATTGCTAAACGAGGGCAAAGTAGTGTGTATAAGAAAAGATGTTTAGTTTATATACCCTTTAATCCAGTGGGTCCAGCCCTTGCCTTCGATCTCTCCTTTCTGCACACACACTCTCCATCCCAGATGATGGTGATCTGTGGGAATAAATCTTGCAAAGAAGAAAAACATTGCTGTTTAAATGAGCAAACTGTGAAAATTATTATTTGTTACTTTAACTAACATAAATTATTGTTTTGTTGTTTAAAAATGATTACCTATTATTTTAAGTGGGACGGTTTTATGTAGGATTGTTGTGCCAGTGAAACTGTAATGGAAGAATGTTGTCAATGTCATTTAAATATTTCTGTGACATAATTTTTCATTTATTCAGCTCATGCTTTAATCAAATAAATTAATGCATGCCTTATAAATATTTTCATGAGACTGAACCATTAAACGTTTAATTTTTTCTAACAACAGCCATCAAAATTGAACAGCTGAATGACTAAAACATAGTACTAAAATTACTAAAACATAGGATAAAACTTTGATGCTTTCACTATTTCAGTCATTGTGGTTTTAAATGGCTTTTTTAGTGATCTGCATTCCATATGAGGGGATTACAATACAATAAGTCATTCAAGTGAACAGAAATTAAATGAAAAAGCAAAAGTTATTTGAGCCATTTCTAGGCTTAAGACTGAAAACAGCAGCAGACAAACACTTCATTAAAGTCCAGTTTTCTCTCTCCATCATGAGTGATTCATAAATACTTCTGGATTATACTGATGTTGGCACACTCACCATACAGTTCCTGCCATCTACTGAACCCAGGTCTTCCTTAAACTCCTGACCAACCACAAAGTCCATGTTATAGTTCCTGAACATGCAGACATTCTTGATAATAAAGTGATCTCTATTCTCTGTGATATCTTTGTCAGGTTGTAACAAAACAGCAATTTTCCTGATAGCAACATTAACATCTTCAGTAATTTTGGGAGAAAAAAAGATTACAAAATTACTAACCCAGTCTGACAGATCTGTTTGTATGATGTTTAAGGAAGCACCTGTTCATTGTTTAAATGCTTTCATTTCAAATGATTTTATATAGCTTATATGTACATAAATTGACCATGGTGGACCATGGCAGTTGAATATAACTTTTTTTTTAAAGTCCAGTAAAAACATCACAGTTGCAGTGACAAGAACAGCAAAACTCTGAAGGACAGCGGCCCTCAAGGACCAAGTTTGGACACCGAGTTTTATTTACCACCATATTAATCGGATCAGCTTCATTACTGCCACACATGTGCTGCTCAGTAGGCTACAACTATATTGGGAAAAACACTCTCACAATGTGCACAATACCATGCATGAGCTATAAACCAACCC